CAGCAGCAACAGCAGCAGCAGTAGCAGCAGCAGCAACAGCAGCAGCAGCAGCACATACACTTACATAGACATACAGAAGTATGCACACAAAGAAGCGATAAAACGTGCTTGTGAAACAGATGTGCTCAACACAATCCAACACCACATAATGGTTTCAAAATTTATTAACATGAACATGAACAAGAACATTATAGCTTGGATTATTGAATTCTTAACCAATCGACCTCAAAATGTAAAATTAAACGGTGTAAAATCTCCCTTGTCTTGTTAACACTCTACACCAACGACTGTACTGTTGATAACAAAAACATCAAACTAATAACATTTGCGGATGATTCCACTCTACAAGGCCTTATAACAACAAATGAGAATGAATACAGTGACGCTGTGAATCTATTTACAAATTGGTGGGATAACCACTTCCTTATACTAAATGTAAAAAAGACAAAGGAACTAATCATAGACTTTAGAGTAAAAACAAGACCAATTGCTACCACTATTTATTAAAGATGAAGAGGGGGAGGTGGTAAGCTCTTACAAGTATCTTGATGTAACAATCGACCACAAACTTGACTGGCATCCCCACGCTGCTCTTGTGCATAAAAAGGTGAGTCAAAGAATGTTCCTTTTAAGGAAATTAAGAAGTTTGCGTGTCGATAAGAAGATTATGTCCCTTTTATACAATTCTATGATTGAAAATGTGGTATTATTTTGTATTTGCTGCTGGGCTGGGAATTGCGAGGTGAAAGATAAGGAAAAATTCGACAGAACCATTAAGTAAGCCAACAAGATCCCTGAGTATGATTTTACTAGAATTGATGAAATGTAGGCCTATAACACAACAAGTATTTAAAAGATAATAAAAAGCATTATAAACGACCCAACACACCCCCTTTCCGCGCAAATTGTAAGATCACGCAGCGGCAGATAGGTACACCCAAAAACAAAGAAAGAAAGAAAGATATGAAAGAAGTTGTTTTTTTACTGTCTAGCATACGGCTATTGTCAGAATAAGCATGCAGTGTGTAGTGCTCTTTCAGATAAACGTAAAGTTGTTCCCGCATCCGATCCGGACATTAGGGATTGCCTTGTTAGTGAGACAACTTCCTGGGCCTTCGGCATATTGTGGTAGGGTGGCCAGTTCCTTTTCACGCCACCTTTACTTCCCCAAATCGAAGTCAGGTACCCATTACTGCTGGGTGGGCAGTTCCTTTCCACGCCGCCTTTACTTCCCCAAATCGAAGTCAGGTACCTATTACTGCTGAGTGGGGAGGAGGGGGCGAAAAAATCCGTGGCTCGAACCCGGATTTTCCGCTTCGGAGACGATCGCACTAACCGCTCCGCCATCGCACCCTCTTTCAAGAATGTGTCTATATAATTCTAAAGGTCTTGTAATTAAATGTATGCATATGGTTCAATGATGAAACTGATGTGATATGTACATTTTGTCAGCTTTACTTCTTTTTTTCATATTATTGAATTTTAATTAGAGTAATATATAATTAAATTTCTATGTATACCTGCATGTGTTTTTACGGTACTGTACAGCCAAGAAAAAATTCCCTCTGGATAATAAAGTATTATCTTGTCTTATCTTATCTTAACCCCGTTCATGAAATCTTTTTTCTATACGTATAGAGCACCCCCCCCCCCAAAAAAAAAATATATATATATATATTTGAAATAATTAGAATTTAAAAAATAGATAAATAAATTAATTAAAAAGCCGGACTTTTTCAACCCTAGGTCTATATTCTCGAAGGTATCCGCCACTGCCACAGACGAGTTACAAAACCTGCTCTCTTAAGGCACGACCCCAAAGCAAAATATGGTGAGAAAATGTCCGACTTTAATCAAGTTTGGGCTCTGTCGTCTGCTTCAGGGAAAGAAACATAGCCCTGATGGTTTGTCTGAACTTTGAACTCATGTTGAGGTACAGCACAATGTTTATAGAACTGTTGACACCTTGCAAGTTCTGGATAACGGCCATACAGACCAGGTATATGTTGTTATAAGTTTTCCCCATGTAGAAGCCCGGCACTAATTCCATGGTGAGAAACAAGGAGCCCAGGGGCACGAAACAAACCAGGAACACCGCAGCTACCAGCAAGATCATTTTGGCAACTTGAATCTCCTTGTTCTGTGTCTGTGTCTTTCCTGTTGATGGAGCGGCGCCCGTTTGTGACGTGCCGCTATTTTTGGAACTCTTCCACTTCCGGCGGCGCTGAATAAGTGCGTGAATCAGGACCAATGAGAAGACGCAGACGCAGAGGAAAGAACCTGCGGTCACAATGAATCCTGGTATCATAACGAAGGGTTTCATGGCATCTTCTTTGTCGTTGAAAACTACTCCGATCAGCGTCTTGTTTGTCCGCGGATCGAAGATAGGAGCGAGGTCGGTGTAGGCAAGAACTGGGAATAAGGACAGTAGCAAAAGAAGGAATATAGCAGCCAGGGAAATGGCTGTCCTAGTCGGGGTCAATATTGTGCGTACACGTAGGGGTGCTTTGATGCACAGACACCGCTCCATTGTCACAAAAGTGGTGATCATGCCTGACGTCCTGGGGAGAGGGATGATAAAATTCATAAATAATACACGCGCACATACACACACACACACACTCGCACACACATACGTACACACACACACACACTCACACTCTCACACACATACGTACGTACGTACACACACACACTCACACACACACACACACACACACTCTCTCTCTCTCTCACATACATACACACACTCACACATACATACACACACACACACTCACATACACACACATACAAACACTCACACACACTCACACACACATACAAACATACACATATACACACACATACATACAAACACATATACACACACACATACACACATACACACATACACACACATACATACAAACACATATACACACACACACACATACACACACACACACACACGTACACACAAACACACACACACACACACACACACACACATATATATATACACACACATACACACAAACACACACACACACACACACACACACACACACACACACACACACAAATACATACAATTTACTAAATATAAATGTGTGTGTGTTAAAAGTCCACTTAATGTCTTTAACTTTTGCTGACTTGGCATCACATTTTTAAATTCAACCAAACAGTTTTATCTGCTCAGTACCCAGTTTTGATCAATCTGAAGTTAAAATATTATGATTTTCACAACACATGTCAAGTTTTTTAAAATGCAATTCTATAAGTATGTTGATTACGTCTCCGAAATATCTTACGATTTTGATAGAGCAGACAGAATATTTGGTTTTTGACCTCATGGTCTTAGTACCTGTCAGATAGAATTTTGTAATTCTGATGTAGCCAGCTTGAAAATATAGATCTACTCAGGACATTTTTGATGAGTATAGTTGTGTTACAAAGAGCTGAGGCAAGAGGTTGTTTTCTTTCTTTGGAAACTGAAATAAAGTTAGGCCTGGAAAACACAACATATTATGTCCATGCACCAGTCAAAATAGGAAAAATAACAGAAGAACATAAACGTAGATTGGGAAAGCATCATGTTCTCTTTATTCAATTGTTTGTTCGGACAAATGTCAAAACATCTGTTCAAGAAAAAAATGGTTTTGAAACCATCACAATGTTTCAAACGTTACGGGTCAAAAGGGTTTTTTTTTTCAAAAAGGGAACAATACTTTTATATCTGAAAATTCCCCCCGTGGGTTGGGGGAGTGTCGATAAACTCACTGGCTCGTCTGCAGGAAGTGAAACCCCCCAGGGACCAAGTGTCGCACACGGACGTCTAGCCTCTGAGATCCGTGTGCGACTTCTACTTTGGTGTATCTTCCTCTTCTCCTCCCTTCTTTCTTTCTTCTTCTATCTCTTCTTTCACCGCCGATCTCATGTGGAGCAAAACTAGAGGTCACCCATCCCACACAGTGGGCGCCTCGTTGACCGTGAGGTGCGACCCGTGCGGAGGAAACCGAGTACCTGGCGGCTGAGGTGAGATCAGTCTACGGACTGCCTCTTGCCAACATACCTCTTTGGCCCAGGTTTTCCTCTTAGACGGGAGGGTGGCACAGCCCATGCCACCCAATCCATTGGTAGCTGAAACTCCTTCAGTACCTGGGTCAATCTTGACCGGAGGGTCTTGTGTGCTCTCGTGGAGAATATAGCTCTGGGGTAGCCCTGGCACAGCTCTGGTTATCCGAGCAATGTGTCCCCTTGTTGGGCTCGGTGGCGGGCGGGGAGCCCGGAGTCGAACCAACCACAAAACTCACATGGAACCTTCACTTATAAAAGACCCTTCCCCAGCTCCCAACGTTAACAAGAAGTCTCGGCTCGCGGAAGTGGGTGCGGCCGCCGAGCCGGGCGAACAAAACGGTAAAAGGACCTATACAGCTGCCTCTACCTTCCCTTCTCCCAGGGAGTTTCCGCGACAGTCGTACGTGGCCATCCCCAGTACAGAAGACGCACAGAAAAAAATCACTGATCTAAATCTGTTCAAGACAGGAGGTGCACTACGGAAAGTTCTGGGACACATTCTCACGAATGTACAGAAGCCTTCCAGTGGTGCACTCCTTGTCAAGGGCGCAACAGAGACAGAAGGAGAAAGAAGTGACCAGGCTCCTGAACACCATGACTGTCGGCAGAGTTCCATGTACATCCGAGCGGTACAGGAAGTTAAACTGCTCAAAGGGCGTTGTTCGCAGCCATGAACTAAAGGACTGCAGCATGGAGGAAATTGTGGCAATTTGGGAGGGTGTGCCCCACGCCGCCGGATTACTCTTCGGCGGGGAGAGACCACCCTCGAAACTAATTCAATAATTCTGACTTTTGACTTGTGTCGCCCTCCAGACACCGTTCGCGCATCTTACTTAGTCTTTGACGTGCGACCCTAAGTACCAAACCCTCTACGCTGCTTCAAGTGTCAGAAGTTCGGCCACAGTCAGTCGCGATGCCGACCCACAGCCGTGTGTCCTCGTTGTGGCAAGACCGGGCATCCTGAGAAGAATGCAAGGCTAGTCCTTGCTGCTGCCCTAATTGCCGCGGCCAGCACACAGCTTTCAGCAAGGAGTGCCCGACTTGGCTCCAAGAACGCGTCATCCAAGAGTACAAGGCGCGAAATGGCGGCTCATTCCAGGAGACCTGAAAGAGTATCTGCCCGCCAGTTGTGACCCTAGTCCCTGGCCGGTCATTCGCAAAGGCGGTCCGGCCTGTCACGAGGTTGGCCAGTACTTCTACTGCCGACCTCCCAAATCCCACGGTCAACAGGCAAATCTATACCCGAAAGGTTAAGAACATACCCCTATGGCACCCACCTTTGAGGTGCCATTTTCTAACCGCTTTGGGGTTCTAGAGGAGGATGGAGTGGACTCTTCTTCCACCCCTCTTCTTCCACTCCCCACTCTTCTATCCCTTCTTCTTCTTCTTCCTCCTCAAACTCCATCACACTTTGTTTAATTTTAGTAAGTTTTACGGCGCTCGCAAATGCATATGGTCATATGAGCGCGCCAAACAAGTTGGTTTTATTCGCAACAGTTCACCGCACTGCCCGATTTTGGAGAAAAAAAATTCTATTCAAATGTTAAAATGCTAAAATTCGAGATTTAAAAAATCATAGTTTAAAATAGCTTTTTAAATAATATTACAATTTTAAGCAACGTTATTCACAATTTTCCATGAAGGCCAACTGACTTTATAAAATGAAGGATTCTGTTGGGATCAACGACGGAAAACAAATCTTGCAGTTTTATTTCATTTAAAATACTTCCTTCGGGTCTCTCCGAAGTCTAGATATTCGGTTAAGATGTGTCTAATGGTAAAAATATGTGTCGCATCCGACACAGAATGGTTTATTATTTACTTGTTTCTTCCAAGGAGTCTCCCACACACTGGAAGTGTAGTTTATTATTTTACTATCTCTCTCGAGAGGGAGCGTTTTTGATATTCATCTTGTCAGATTGTTGCATTTCTTACATGAAAGTTTGATTCTGACTGCAGTGTTCTTACCAAATTTACATCCCATGAGATGAAGGAAAATGAAACGTGCTTACAGAATTAAAGTTGAGATATGGGATACGGAAAAATTGGATAACGTACATGGAAAGTAAGAGGAGAGAGATGGGGGGACAGCAGAGGGGATTCTAAAGATGGGACTGGTCATATGTTTACAATAATGACTGTATAGCACCGGGTCAGCCTGAAAAGCGACGTCGAGAGAAAATGACAGGAAACAATAATTCTTATTATAATAACAAACACCCCTCTCTCTCTCTCTCTCTCTCTCTCTCTCTCTCTCTCTCTCTCTCTCTCTCTGCCTACAGACAAAATTGGAAGTGTTCAACTCAAGAGCGCTGGAACGTTTGTTTACGCTGGTATCACGGGCCGTCACGCACTAACACAAGGACGCGCCCAAGTCTCGGAAGCGAGATCATCATCATCATCATTCAGTGCCAGATCTGCGACAGACATCGGCGATGCGCTTTTCCCTTTCGTCAACCCGCAGCCACTTAACGAATCGTCAGCCACATAGGCCTACCAACCTTTGACACGGGTCAAACTTCCATCTATTTATAGGTAGTTACCGGAACATGTATAGGTGAAGTGATGTGCCGTGATAGTCGCGATATATTATTTATTGAGATTGTTTTGGTCTCTCTTTACTCATCACCAAGAGAATTTCTTGAATTTTTTCCCTGGACTCTGCCTTTACTAAAATCTCGAATCTAGATCTAGATCTAGAGTGTTAATCTAGTGGCAGGTTGCAGATTTCTGTTATCCAGTACATGTACATTCAAGAGATTAAATAAATTGGACTAGACTCTAGACTCTAGTAGTAGACTCTTCTACTTCTACTTCTAAACCTTCGAGATTACAAAGGCCAAGCCGAGGCTTGTAAGGATTCGTTTTGTTAAAAGTGTTGTTTAACACAAAGTCTAAGAAGTTAGCAAACCTAACACATTTTTTTCTAACGAAATGAAGCTTAAATTGACTTTTGTATTGTCAATAAGAGATCAAGTTTAATCACCTAATCATTTAAGTAAGGAAGTGGACTGGTTATCCTCACCCGGGGTGAGAATAAAAACCCTACGATTGACCTCTCACCCCGGGTGAGACTTGCCAGCGTTGGCTATTCTCACCCAGTGTGAAACAAGACCTGTTTTTCCTAATTTCGAAATACTTTCTATCGGTGTGGATGATCAAATTGACAAAAGCAAAGAAAAAAATGACGTTATAGCACAAAAGTAAGCTAATTTGATCGTCTACAAAGATGCTATGGCTCTTTCACTTTTCGAATCGAGCCGAACTACGCGGGTCGCCATTTTGTTTTGCCCGGAAGATCTCGCAACTTACTCGCAAGATCTACTCCTCCCCCTTCTCTCCCTCTCTCTCTCTCTGTCGGCAATTTATTAAATCTGCAACCTGCAACTAGATTACAACTAGATCTAGATTCGAGACTTTAGTAAAGGCAGAGTCCAGGGAAAAACATCAATTAAATTCGTGTGGTGCAGATGAGTAAAGAGAGACCAAAACAATCTCTCTATTGCGACTATCATTGCACATCACTTCGCCTAATACATGTTCCGGTAGATCTAACTACCTATAAATAGATGGAAGTTTGACCCGTGTCAAAGGTTGGGTGGTGGCTGACGATTCGGGAGGTGGCTGCGGGTTGACGAAAGGGAAAAGTGCATCGGCGATAATGCTTCTCCGTTAATTCCTTTGCTTGGATGCTCTAAAAAAAAAAAGCTTTCTGCAGCTTTTCTACTGCTACTCCTTTGCTCCTTCTTACTGCTGTCTTTCAGCCACACCCCTGATCTTCTGGTAGGAAAGATCTACACCTAGCCTTCTCGGACAAGGGCGAAAAATCTCGGAGGTCCGGTTTGCAAGTTGTGTACGTTAAAGATTCCTTGATGGTCCAAAATCGATAAGAGTAGGCTTCGGCTGCTAATCGGGCAAAATTCAAAATTTCCTACCAACTGAAAATGTTTAATGGTTCTCGCGTTCCCGCGCGCTCATATGACCTTATGCAGTTGCGAGCGCCGTAGAACAAACATACCCCTCTCACACAAAAAAACCCTCCCACCACCATCGCCATCACCACCAACAACAACAACAACAACAACAACAACAACAACAACAACAACAACAACAGCAACAACAACAACAACAGCAACACCAACCGAAACTGTTCGACTGAGAGAGGAGGCCCAATACTTTCTTCGAAACCAGGCCCTGGGAACGTGGAATCAACCCCGACATCACTTTTCCCCACCTGTACGGCATAAGCGGAAGGAGTGACTCCAGTGGGAAGATTCAAAGCGCTGCTGTTCGTCGAGCACGAGAGCTTGGCGCACAGTACAATATCTACACTGACGGCTCGGCTAGGGCAGGAACAACGGACGGCGGCGCTGGAGTCGTCATCACAACGGGGAACCCGTCCAACCCTACCGTTGTCGAGACATTGAGGGAGAAAGGCGCCATATTTACGTGCTCTTTCGAGGAAGAAAGGAGAGCCTTGGAAATGGCCATTGACTGGATTGACAAAGAGTGCGATGCATCCAACTCGGTCGCTATCTTCACCGACAGTCAATCACTATGCATGGCACTAGTGGGAACATCACCATCCTTCGACCAATTGCGACTACGCATAAATAATGCAATACCTCAACCCACGATTCAGTGGATCCCTGGTCACCGCGATATCCTCGGCAACGATCTCGCTGACAGCAATGCCAAACTGGCAACAGCGCTGCCGGGTCCAGGCCGCCAAATTACTTATGACAGTGCGTGCGCCCAGATAAAACTAATTACAAAAGACCCCCCTATATGCCACACGCGGACGAAGGAAGTATACAGGGCATTTTCCTTAAAACGAGAGGCTCTTATTATGTCCCGCAGTGACCAGTCATTACTGGCAAAAATCAGGACCGGTCATTTCTCTGGGCTTCGGGCCTACAAAAATAGAATAGACAAAACATCGGACCCAATGTGTCCATTGTGCAGCGACGAGCCCCAAGATTTGGAGCACTGGCTGCAGAGATGCCCGGCCACGGAGGCCCGGCGGTGGCATCTCTTCGGGGAGGATTCAGGGAGGTTGGACTGCCTCACCCGCTACCCAAGGGAGGCGGTGGCCCTGGCGAAGAGCACGCTATTCGGGGCTCCGAACATTTCGAACGGATAGGCTACCACACACACACACAGCAACAGTAACAACAGCAACAACAACAACAACAGTAACAACAACAACAGCAACAACAACAACAACAACAACAACAACAGCAACGACAACAACAACAGCAACAACAACAAGAACAACAACAACAACAACAACAACAACAACAACAACAACAACAACAACAACAACAACAACAACAACAACAACAAACCTGACAAACCACGTCCAGGGCCAGCCGCCAGCGAGAGCGATCACGTCTGTATAAATAAACGGCAGATCTAGTGAGGTGAACAAAGGGTTGGATATCAGAGAAATCATGGCCAGTACGACAAGACTACCGAGGTCAGACAGGGAGAGACACATCAAGGAGAGGTTCACGGATTCTCGGACACCCATCTTGATGAAGACGATGATGTTGATGATGTTTGCAGCAATGCCAAAGACAGCGATGACCGCACCTATGACAGACCAGTTGAGAACGAGGAGCATTGAGGTAATGCGTTCATTTAACAACCCGCCGACCTGGGCTACTTTAAGAAGACTAGTATTGTTGTTATCCATGTTGACTGTAAGAGAAACCTAGCACGAAGAGCTGAGTAGATTTGGTCAGAAAATGTAATCATTGGACAAGGATCTCAATATATTTGTTCAGTGTGAAATGGCTGCCGCATAGAAAATTGAGCCGATGAAAAAAGAGTTTATAGTGGCCACTCCAGATGTATATTTTATTTTGTTTGATTATTTTTTTCTTTTTTGTTATTGTTATTATTGTTTTAGGTAGGGGGGGGGTTTCCGCTGCTAAAAGATTTCAGTTTGTCGTCGAACCGAGTTGTCGTTAAGAGAAAGACAGAAAGAACAAAAAGCTCAAAGTTCATGTAAGCTCTATTAGAACAGCGTGGTCTACAGTCACCAATTTTAGACTTAGACCCCAAAATTACTGTTGCAGAAAAAAGTGAAATAACGTATGTTTGTCAAAGCGAGCGTTATGTAGACCGAGTCGACTGCTCTAGCCCCAGAGTGTCATGCCAGGTCCCCTCTCCTCCAGACGGAACAAACTGGCGTCTTTCCAGCCTTTTTTATTCTAATTCTAGACCTCTTTTTCTATACTAGCTATGGGCTTGTCACGATATCAAGTTTTGCGTCCCCCAACCCAATTATGCTTGCGGTAGTTTTTTCTGAGGTAAACAGCTTCTCTTTTTCCCCATTTTTTGATCAATTAAATTATGTTGACGAACCTAGGATAAGACTGAGAGTAGCACGTAATTATTTGTCTTGTTTTCCTACGAGCACCACGTAATTATTTTGTCTCTTTTCCAAACAAATCCTTTTCCACCTCCAAATACTCAGAATGTAACATAAGACTGTAGACCAAAGACTTTATATAATTACATGTTGGTGTATACATGGCCTGGAGCTGTCATATCTGTCTCAAAGGTCGAAGCGCAATGACTCGCTGCTGCTTAGGGGCGTTCGCAATAATTACATGCGTAGGCCTGTAGAATTATGTATGTATAATAAACGCCACAGGTGATCCCCTGGAAACGAGGTGGTTGTTAGATAGAATGTAGCTTGTTAGAGTTAGAGTTAAAGTGCAACAGGGTCTCGATAATGATTGGTGGCCCCACTGACGAACGAGTGGAGGGTCACAGTTCCCGGGACAGCAATCGACAGCCCCTCACAGGGCACCGAATCCCCGATAGTCCGTCAGATAGATAACCACAGATAGCATTTGTATAGCGCAAATCCCCGCTCTACGGCAAGTTCTATGCGCTTCACAATCTATACTATTACCCAAGCAGACCTGAGAGCATTCTGAAACAGTCTCAACTTCCTGGGAAGCATATTGTGCAAGCAGCCATTTATAGGCGCTAAAACACTAACATACTGACAAGATCTTTCACTGACTATGGCCGGGTACCGAGGTGGTAAATATACCTCGCCGGGTACCCATTTCCACCAGGGTGAAGTGAGGAAAATTCGTGTAAAGTGCCTTTCCCAAAGACACAACGTCGGGCCCACGGCTCGAACCCCCGAACCCGCAACCTCACCACTAGACCACCGACAACCTCACGATTACGAGTCTGGTAGCCTAACCACTAGGCCACCGACAACCTCACGATTACCAGTCCTGTAGCCTAACCACTAGGCCACCGAAAACCTCACGATTACCAGTCCCGTAGCCTAACCACTAGGCCACCGACAACCTCACGATTACCAGTCCCGTAGCCTAACCACTAGGCCACCGACAACCTCACGATTACCAGTCCCGTAGCCTAACCACTAGGCCACCGACAACCTCACGATTACCAGTCCCGTAGCCTAACCACTAGACCACCGACGCCAGATAGATACATGTACCAATACAAAGAGGATTCTCTACCAGCAAGATGTTTCAGTTGCCCTTACTCGGGGACGTGCGAGACTTGGGCACACCTTGTGTTAGAACGTGACGGCCCGCGGTACCAGCGTAAACAAACGTTCCAGCGCTCTTGGGTTGAGAAAGAGGGAGAGAGAGAAAGAGAGAGCGAAAGACAGAGAGAAAGTGTGGGGGGGGGGGGGACTGGGAGAGGGAAAGAGAGAGAGAGAGAGACTGAGAGAGAGAGAGAGAGAGAAAGAGAGAGAGAGAGAGAGAGAGAGAGAGAGAGAGAGAGAGAGAGAGAGAGAGAGAGAGAGAGAGAGAGAGAGAGATAGTGGGTGTTGTTTTGGTGGGGTTTCTAATAAAGCGTTATTTTTACAAATCAGCTTAGAAGTTTTTTCTCGCCCACTCAAAAACATGTTTTGTAGATAAAACTGTAATTGTTATTTTCACTGGAGGTCTTTCGATCTCTAGAAGGACGTGGGATCTACTGAACTTCTTGTGGGCTGTAAGTCATGGAGCCACTTTTGTAAGTCATGGGGCCACTTTTGTAAGTCATGTGGCCACTTTTGTCATGGGGCCACTTTTGTTTGTGGGACACTGGGCCCAAAATAACACGGCAAGACTAGTGCTGAAGAAAAAGAAGAAAGATCCTGCATCAAAAAGGTGAAAAGCTCTGCATTGGCTTCCAGTTGATAAAAAAATCCAATATAAAGTTTCTACCATCTGTTTTAAATGTCTAAAGGATAAAGCCCCATCCTGTCTATCTGAGCTTTTAACACTGTGTGTTAAATAATATTATGTTCCATCTCGTCAGTTACGGTCATCCACAAATGCAATAAAATTCAGAGCCGTAAGAATGAAATTAGGATCTTTTGGTAAGAAAAGCCCAAAAATCTGGAACACCTTGCCTCAGGATCTCAGAGAAACAACGAATTCTGATAGGCTTAAGCGATTGCTCAAGACTCGTTTGTTCAATTGTTAGTTATAGTGTGTTAGTTAGTTCTGATTGTTTTAATATACATGTATGTTTGTTTTTTTCCTCACTGTCCTTTGGTGTATAGTCTCGTAGTATGGGATACAGCTCAATATAGATGCAATATATTGTTATTATTAGTAGTAGTAGTAGTAGTAGTAGTAGTAGTAGTAGTAGTAGTAGTAGTAGTAGTAGTAGTAGTAGTAGTAGTAGTAGTAGTAGTAGTAGTAGTAGTAGTAGTAGAAGTAGTAGTAGTAGTAGTAGTAGTTGTAGTAGTAGTAGTAGTAGTAGTAGTAGTAGTAGTAGTAGTAGTAGTAGTAGCAGTAGTAGTAGTAGTAGTAGTAGTAGTAGTAGTAGTAGTAGTAGTAGTAGTAGTAGTAGTAGTAGTAGTAGTAGTAGTAGTAGTAGTAGTTGTAGTAGTAGTAGTAGTAGTAGTAGATCTAGATCTCGCTCTCACAGGCTAAACGGAAGGCCAACAAGGCAGGGCGTAGACCCAGACCCATCTACTTGGAAAGCTTAAAGTTAAATAGATGAGTGAGGGGGGAAAGTGTTTGTGGGGGGGGGGGGATCAGGATTAATGTCTTTGGGGGGTTTTTAAGAGCATCTGAGGAATGAACGAAGAACCAATATCACCAATGTTTGTCTCAGATCTGGCATTTGATGATGATGATGATGATGATGATGATGATGATGATGATGATGATGATGATGATGATGATGATGATGATGATGATGATGATGATGATCTTTTCACAGTGACAATCATCCACGTCATATCAAGCCGACCGTCTAACCCCTTTTTCTTTCTTCATCCTTACTATCGTTATTTCCTGTCCTTCTGTTGTAAGTTTGTCACTCCCTTGTGACCTGTTATTTTGGGATGCCTTGATAGTCGAAGCAGACTTTGTGCTGTTGAAGCTAGAGAGGTGAGCAGAGTAGGTCTGATTCCTTGTAAGGACTTCTCTGTTGACATCCACCCCTTGGCGCTCATTTGACTTTATGCAGTTGCGAGCGCCGAAAACCTTACTTTAAAAAAGACAAACAACCAGAAACAGACTGACAATATCAGAGGAGATCCATTTGCCAGCCTGCTCTAGCCCTCATAGAGCTCACATCTACGTGTGGACTAGGGCATTTTCGAACATTGGTGCAAAACAGTTCAGCTCTATTTTTAAAAAACAGTTATGGAACTGGAGCTAAAAAACCTACACCGTGCCCTTGAAAGGACCGCCCGTATCTGTCTCTGGTAACCTCCGCGCTAAAAGTAATCCCACGTCTGAGTGAACACATTTTGTATTTTTACGACGCATGTGGTGACTTCTGTGTCAGCGAATACCGAACCATTTCTCCACAACCAATCAATCATTTCAGTCAACGATACAACTGTTTGTCAGTGACGAAAAGCTATACAGGATTTGGACAACTCTCTACCTCAGGAGTACAAAATTCTATCTGCTCAGCACCCTAGTTTTGAGAAATTAGACGTCAAAAGATTTTGAGTTTCACATTATGTCGAACTTTTTCGAAAGCAATTCTTTGAATATCTTGAGGACGACTCTGAATAATCGTAGGGTTTTGATAGAGCAGATTAGAACATCTGGTTTCTGACCTAATGGTGCTAGTGACTCAAAACGGTCAATAATGTCAGAGAAAAATGTATAATTCTGAAGTAGCGAACTTGGCTGATGGAATCAAAATTGAGAATCTGTGGAGGCCGCGTTGACAACTGTTGTTCCAAGTTTAAAAAATACATTCTCAAGATCTGCAGGAATAAGACTATCTTTGCAATGTAGTTTTCAAACTATTTCAGACAATACGTTACGTGTGTACTTTTGATATGCCTGATAATTCTGATCTATGTCTCAACATACACGAGATTGTTGGGGAGCTCGGAACTTTTGGTGACACGACAGCAGTTGATCTTTAGAAAGAATTTCTCTGACATCAAAACATGGTACAGATTTCCTAGTGTCAAGAACAGAAGTCTGACGGAAGAACCGTAAGTACAAAAAGTTAGAATTGAGTGAATGCCCACCTTGCTGCAATGGGCAACTGTCAGCGCCACACACTTTTTGCCGATATCGATACAATTAGATTGCCGATTCCACCCAACGGTTACAGTCCCCTTGACAAAATTACTCTGCACAGACCCATACAAATATATTCCTCTTTCAGCAGACGTTAAGCAACTTCCAGACCATTTCTGGAAATTCTAGGCTGAAATTAATAACACAAACCAAATAGAAATAAGGCACTACCAAGAAAGTAGGGAGAATGTGTAACAAGCAAATGTACGCAGATGGACAAGTCTCACAACTTCAATTTTCATCCCGAATAAGCCAAAAATGCTTCCCCAACACTTTAAAGATCGTCCCTGACCTGTAGATCTGTTTTTATACCTGAAAAACGTATTGATTCAACACAAAATCGAATTAATATTAGGTCCAAGCTTAGTAAAAACGCTGAGGGTACTTAAATATTGTTGGATGGTACAGTTTTTGTCATCCGCAATCTACTTGTGTCGATGTCATTAAACGGCTTTGATATTTTTTTCTCGAAAGTGCGCAGGCTCTGATGTTCTCCCGCTACAATGACAGTCTCGCCTGGACCACTACCAGACTGACTCACCAAGACGTTCCTTAAACGATGGGTTTGTTTCAGTGCCGGCTTTTGCTTGTGTTTCCTCCTAATATAGTGTAAAGCACATAGAGCCTGCTGTTGAGCGGGGATATGCGCTATACAAATGCTATCTATTATTATTATTATTAATATAGTGTAAAGCACATAGAGCCTGCTGTTGAGCGGGGATATGCGCTATACAAATGCTATCTATTATTATTATTATTAATATAGTGTAAAGCGCATAGAGCCTGCTGTTGAGCGGGGATATGCGCTATACAAATGCTATC